GTGCTAGCGATTCAGGAGCACGGCCCGTATCACGTGGCGGGTTGAGCTTCGTCGGGCGCATGGGGAGCAGCGGTCGTGTAGGCACAAGCTCGGCGGATAGCCCCACGGAGGAGGAGCGCCTAGGACTGGTCAAGGGCGACTCGCAGCACCAGCTACCCAGCCCACCGCGATACGACAGCGAAGAGGAGTGGCAATTGACGAGCAATGATCCGAGTCCTGGAACGGCGGTCCCCAAGGCTGGGCCACGGGACCGACGACCAAGTGATGATGACAAAGTGCTGGAAGCGGCGCAGAATCGGAGGAACTGGAAGTAATACCTCTATGCAGTAGAGACAATATAGATGGGAGCTTGGGACTTTGTATAAAGCAGCATGGAAGGTGGGGCGCGCTTGTTTTCCCATGTCGAGATACCACTGCGTGCGTGGCGGGTGGGGCCTGTTATGGTGTCATCTGGGAGACTTATGTGGGCGTTTTGCGTATGGGTTTGTATGGCCCTTGTATTTTCGTAGAGATTCGGCCTGCAGGGCGTATGATGCATTAATGACACGAAGGTTGATGAGCCGATGTCGTCGCTCCACATATCATCCCCTCACATTCGATCACACTGGGAACCCCTCGCTGGAGGCCTTAACCTCACGGTAAATGGAACACACAAGCTGCAGCCACGTACAGGTTTTCCGATCCTTCCCAACCCCCTCAGGTCCCACGTTATCACGAGTTCAAGCCACAAGGCTAAGCAATGCCAATCAAATCTTCCCAGCCTTGCGGCATATGCTTAACTGTTCCTAGCTTTGCCTATTCTGGACCTCGAATATGCAGCCACGAAACACTTGTCCTGAAGTGGCGGCCCGCCCCGCTATGCAGCGCGGATGTACAGCAGATTGCATGATACTATAGCCCTTAAATCAAAGCAAGTGTTCTTCGTTGCACGCGGGGTGCTAGAGCAGCTTCGAAAGAGGTCTCAGATCACTTCGTCCAACATCAACATCATGTCTCTTCCTAACCCCAGTTCCGAGTTCCAAAGTGTACCGGTACAGCCCAAGTACGAATATGAGGAGAAAGACCAGTCCAGCGAAGAGGCCCCAAGTATGGTCATGTTCAAGTATTCTCATCTCATGCTGATGGTTCGTTGTCAGATCCTCCCTCACAGGTACCTCACCACCTGGACGATGGGCGAATTCCTCCGAAACCGCTCCCCTCGCATCGCAAACAGTGGTCCGGATTCTTGTACCTCATCTTCAACTTGATCGTTGCCATAGTATTCCTGGGTATGCTTCTGGCAGCCAAAAGTCAAGCCGCGACTGACGGATCTTAGTATTAGGAATAATGATCGCTGCCCTGAAAGACAAACCCAAATCCTCTCGGGGGGATATGATCATCCAAGCAACCAACATCGCACCTACCCTGTGGCCCATCTTCTTCGCCACCATTGCAGGCGGCGCTCAAAAATTGTACGCCCAGCATAAAGTTGAGAGTGGTACGTCATTAGGCGTATGGCTCCCCTACTCCGCTAACCTGAGCATGAGCTAACTCTCCAGTCACTCGAGCTTTTCATAGGCAGTCAGACGGTTACTAGTGTCGCCCGCACAGCCTGGATGCTGCGCTCCTTTGGGCCTGTAACCTTCGCCCTCCTCGCTTTATGGTGTTTCAGCATTGTCGGTTCGCAGGCCTCTTTTCGTGGCGTGTACCTACGGCGGACCACTATCCACGACTCCTCTCCCATTCTCTACAGAAACTCGTCAATGTTTCACGACGCTTCCGGCAATTCGCTCATGGGGACTAACGCTTGGCAGACGGAGGGAGAGTTTGTACGCTCCATGTATGGCGCTGCGATGATGGCACTGTCTAGCAGCGTGCGTCCATCTGACGCAAGTGACTTGTGGAATAACGTGCGTATACCGCATGTTGAGAGTCTGCCCACGTACGATCCGAAGCAGCCGGACAAGTGGATTTCCGTCCAGCCAGGTATGAACAGTTCCGCATATGCGGCCTTGGTTGGAATCCCCATGAGATGCGAGACGGATCCTCCGGGTCTCAATTCAACCTTCGCCATCAGCGCAAACTACAACACTTTCAAGGTACGGCTGCTAGACGGTAGTCTCCAATCCGGGAAGTCGAGCGCGAGGCTGATCCACAAGTAGTTTTCCAACTGGACAACGATCGAAGCCGCTGACATGAAGCTCAAGTGGGTACCTGAAAACTTCAACAGGTTCCGCAGGTACCTACGGAATTCCACCGTCCAAGCCAACATCAACAACCAGACCTATCTCTCCTCGCTATATAGTGATCTCTTTCCTTCGTTTGGTGGCTTTTTCTTCGAACCCCTCGGCAACCATAGTGCCAACATCGACGATCCCAATGACACACCTCTAAGTTTGATGTTCGGCACGCATGGGGAAAATGATTACTATGTTACCGAGGGCACCATACACACGGTCTACGTGGATATGAATGTCGACTGCTCGCAGCCTGGACGCACACGAAGCTGTGCCGCCACCGAAGTTCGCATGGCACCAAATCCGATGACCCCATATAATCGTACCGGGCTGGATGTTAATTCCATCGCTAGAATCCTGGCCAATCAATTCCCCTCTCTCCTCGGCCCGCGAATCGCACTCGCATCCTCGGCGACAGAGTTCTACATCTGGGATCCAGCATCAGCATTCAACCACCAATTTGAATCAACAGTAGACTTGGGCAGGATGCCTATCGACGTGTTCCAACAGCGCTTTTCTCTGCTCTACAACACGTTTTGGAAGGCGTCGGTGAAGGGACTGTACATCACGGGCACCGACTGGAACCAGACGGACTTCCCGAATGACTTTGTATCGACGACACGAACAACCGCCCGGGACGGCGTCAGTGTCTACACGCTCGATGTACCATGGCTAGTGATGTACTTTGTGTCGGTATTTGTGTTGCTGCTGGCCAGCGTGGCGGGCATTGTGCTGAAGACGTTGACCCGCACGCCGGAAGTTTTCGGCTACGTGAACTCTTTGGTGCGCGACAGTCCGTATGTCAATGCGGCAGGTGGGACGTATATGTCTGGCGGTGACAGGGCTAGGTTAATGAAGCACCAGCGCGTCAGGCTCGCGGATGTGAGGCCTGGGGAGGCGGTGGGCAGGATTGCGCTTGTGGATATGCGGCATGAGGTGGCGGCGCCAACTACGCATGGAAAGCTTTACGAATGATTTGAGAAGACGGGGGCTGGCTGCCGGACTCGGACTCATTTGTGCGATTTTGTACAAACGGCACGATGGATAGCGGGATGCGGACGATCTAGTGGATAATGTATGTAGACGACGTAATGGATGGCAGTTGTCTAGGGTTGAGCAAATCCACGGCGCATGACCTCGTATTGATTTCGCGTTGACGCGTTCCGCGTTACCTGTCCAGCCAGCACCCCTGGGGGCGTCCAATCGACAAATGAATCGCAAACAACAGGATGCACCCTTTGTCCCGAAGAGCAAGACAACAAGGGCCGCAAGCCTGGCACACCTCCAGTGACTGTCCCTAATTTCCTTGACCATCTCGCACTTAACCTCCAGGCGCCCACACTAGCACGCCCTCCGTCACAACCTTATCCTAACAACAGTTGACCACAGCCACGTTCCTGCATAGTCCCGCAAGGGAAACCCATCATTCTCTTCCTCTTTCTTTCTTTTACTTGTACCAACGACGCGCCACTCAACGTCTCCAATCAAAGGCATCCCGTTGACGCAATCGCGCGTATTCGTCATGCCCGGCAATCAGCGCGTCGGCCCGCTGACCCGCAACGCCACTCCCGGCGCGCGTGCCCGCGCATCACAGACGCAGACGCAGATGCAGAGCACGCCTAAGGCCCCCCTCTTCACCACTTCCAAACCGCACGCCAGCGCCAGTATCATCTCAAAAGCATCCAGCACCAAGGTGGAAACCCCGGTACCTTCAAATACCTACTTCGACGCGTACAACTCGTCGTCCACAGGCCACCAGCTTGGAGATGGAGGATCGGGCACGGCGTGGCGTGCAGTGCGAACGCAGCAGATCAACTTGCAGTTTGGCGGGGTGACCAAGGGAGCGAAGGGGAAACAGCGCACGCTGTGGGAGGTTGGAGGTGTTCAGAAGCGGTCTACGGCCGACACGGCGGAGCCCACCGCTGTGACTGAGCTCTCGGAACCGGACCGCGAGACACCGAGGCCAAGGCCACACCTACCACCCTCTGATAAACTACCACCCTCAGACGAACTGCCAGTTTCAGGTCAACTGCCACCTTCAGGTCAACCAGCCCCCTCCGCCCAACCCCCACCACCCCCAAAGCCCCTCTTCCGGCACGTAGTCTTCTACATCAACGGCTCCACCGCCCCGCTCGTCTCAGACCACAAACTCAAGCAACTCATCGCCTCGCACGGCGGGCGTGTCGCCCTCGGCATAAGCAAATCTGTAACGCACGTCGTCCTGGGCACCAATTCAGCGGCAGGCGGCGTGGGCGGTGGACTGGCGGCGGGGAAGAAGCAGCGGGAGATTATGAGGTGCCGGGGAGCGGGGAAGAGGTTTGTGGGCGTGGAGTGGGTGCTGGATAGTATCAAGCGCGGGAAGAGGCTCCCTGAGCCTGGGTTTGAGAATTTGAAGCTTGCGGCGCATGGACAGGGTCGCACGGCGTTTGGGACTGGGTGATGGTGTGTGCGGTGGCGCGGTGGTGCGGTGGTGCAGAGGGTCCCGATATGGACGTGGAATGAGGTTATGATTATGATCCTGTGCGGTTGATGGACGGTTGGATGGCCTATACCCCGGGCTCAATCGGCGCCTACCAGTGAACGGTCTTATTTGTACACTAGGAAGTTATGGATACACTCTGGAGCACGAGACAGTCCTTGAATTTTTCCATTGGGCTTAGTTCACATCATTGATGGAAGCTTTATGAACTAACTATGCCAATGTGTGGCCCTGGATGAAGTATCATGAAGAAAATTTACTAGTTGACCATATATACTCCAAGAAAAATAAATTGTGCAATACTTGCCGGGGTAGCTCAATCGGTAGAGCGTGTGGCTCTTAGCAAGCGTAAGCGCACTGTTCAACCTCAAGGTCGCGGGTTCGAGCCCCGCCTTCGGCTTGTTCTCTCACGATATTCGCTTTTTGCAAATTTTGATGGTTGGGATGGTGTGAAGAAGCAAACCTCATAGATGTGGAACATAACCTTAACCATTCCTACGTAGTAATTCTAAGTATAGCGCAACCATGTGTATCAAGTTCGCCCGGATCATGTTCCTCTCGCTCAACGACAACTGAAATGTAGACATGTATCCCCCCGGACAGCCCAGGCGGCATTTGAGAAGCCGTACAGGTGTCAAGTGGACAGGGAAGCGTTATTTTAGCCGCTTAGAGTGAGTTACGCACTCAGCAAGTCGTGCGAACTTAAAGAGGCGGCAATGCTGAGCATCCTCCAAACCCCCCACCTCGTTCTTCTGCACAGGAAGGACACCCAACCCTACTGCCTCACAAACTTAGTATGCTTCCCCAACACCAACGTCTTTCCCCTCCTCCCCTCCTTAACCTCCCAAATCCCAACACTCGTCCACGCCAAATTCCCACCCACCCTCTCCGCCCTCCCCTCAATCTCAATCTCCGTCCCCAAGCCTGCCCCCGCCAGATAACTCGTCGCAATCTCGACACTGACGCCCGTGCGCTCGCGCCCGTCCCACGCCGCAATCGCCAGCCCGCCGGCCCAGTCGACCATTGTGGCCGCCGCGCCGCCGTGCAGACTGCCGGACGAGTTGAGGTGCGCGGCGGTCAGGGTGAGGCGGGCGCGGATGAGGCCTTTGGAAACGTGGGTCAGGGTTATGGAGCTGGGAGGGAGGAGAAGCACGTAGATGGGGGAGGCGCTGAGGCGGGTTTCTAGAACGTGAGATATGTGGCTTGCTAGGGCGGGGTCGTGTGCTGGATCTGTGGGCTGGGAGGTTGCTTGGGTGGTGAGTTCGGTACTCATGGTGGGAAGTGGATGGGGAGATGGTGTAGGGTTGGAGTGGGGGTGAGGTTGAGGTTGTGGAGCGAAGAAGGGGCCAGCTTAAGGGTCTTTTAAGACTCTGGGCATGGCTCGGCTCGTGGTGGATGCCTGAGCGAAATGACGTAGCTCCGAAATCGGATGAAGATGTAGCATCCCGACGTCCATTGCTCACCAAGCAGCAAATGCATCGTCCCAACGCTAAATGACCAGATCGGACTACTGTCATGTGCGCGCCGTCAACTCCGTTGAATGGCAGCAGTCTCCTCGAGAACAGAGCTTCACAATGTGCAGCAGAAAGATGGTCCAAAAGAACTTTCAAACCCAGGCCCGGGGGTGTTCTCAGCGCAACTTGAACAGCCGTTGATTAATCTTTTCCCAACCAGTCTATCATCTAGTACATGACCTCACTCCTGGCCGCTAACAGGCGAGCAGCTCCATACGTACAGTTAGCACACAGCAAGCATTAACACACTTCACGCAACAAGATTCATCACCACTCCTCAAACCGTCATCGAACTCATCCCCTCAACTCTTCCCTGGCCCGGGAAGCCAAAAGTCTATAGTGGTAATACCATCCTTTATCAGTATCAACAAACATTTTGTCTGTCCTCCCACAAAGCCCAAGCAAGCCCCTTTACGCTTCATGTCTCTCAATTGCAAACCTGCACACGTTCGTAAAAACCCTCAAAAACAAAAGCATTAGGGCGCGAAAAACGTGCGCCCCCCATCAAGCCTAACCCCGTCCCGCCGATCACTCCATCGCAATGTTTGTGAGGATGACAAAATGAAAGAAAAGAACGACTGTAGGCTTCAAGCCTGGTCACAAGCACCCCTCCTCCAAAAACACACGCATACAGAGGAGGTCGTAGAACAACATGCCCACAGCTCATTCCGCAAGTAAAGAAAAGTCGTGAAAGGAGCGGAATTCCTGGACTCAACTCCTGTCACCCAACAGGCCAGTCGAGTCCACCACATGAACTGTTCAACCCCAGAACATCATCTTCACCCTCTTCCCCATATCTCTTACAACCTCTTTCTTAGAGATCTTTATTTCCCCATCGACTGGCTCATCCACCTCCTCGCTCTCAGGATGCACAATCACGCTCCGCGCCACAGGCACCGCATGTGCGCGGCCTCCAAGCGGAATGCGATAACGTAACGTCCCGCGTACAATCAGCTCAAACGAGTGCCGCAGCACCCGCTCCCATCTCTCCGTCCCTCCCGCCTCGGTTCGATTCCCCGGCTTTGAAAGTCGAAGTGACCCGGTCGACGAGCGCGCCACACGCCGACGCAAAAACGAGCCCTCAAATGTCAGTGGACTGTCGAAACGCGCGATGCGGCCCAACAACATGGTCTGCCGGTTCGGGGAAGGGTCGTCATCGTCGGGGTCGCCACCGCTCGGATCGGGATCTGGGTCCGGCCAGAAGAGGCCAGAGGCGTTCACCGTAGGCTGCTGTGGCGCTTGTGTAGCGCGCACACGGTCCTTGTGTTCCTTCATGCGGCGCGTGGCGACAGTCGCCAGAGCCGCACCTTCCTCAAGGGGTGGTAGCTTCCCGTGGTCGCGCCACCACTTCTCCGAGCCGACAAATTTACTCTTCGCGAAGATATTGATGTCCATGTCCGCGACGGTTATGGGAAGCAGATTCGGATTGACGGCGCGCACCACCAGATCCACCATTAGCTCTTGTTCGCTAGCGAGCACGTTCTCAATGCCGACGATCTCGACTTCGGCTAGAGGCGTGCTAATGGCGAAGAGGAACCCGACGGCTCCGAAGGTGAGTAGCATCAACATAACGAATAGCACCACACACCCCGCGAATCGGCTCATGCAACTACGTCCACGCGTGTCGCCATTGCGCCGTGGAGGCAAGTACGAGGGCAGCGTCTGGTAGTCGCCATGGCGATTCACACGAACGAGGTTTCTCCGGCCTCGCGGTCCACGAATGGTATTCATCAGCGGCGTACGCTCGTCATCTCCACCATCAGCATCCAAGTCGTACGACTGGTAGCCAACATCTTTACGACCGAGTCCATTGGCGTTACCCCTGAACCCGTTGCCGTTGCTGGTGCCACGGCCGTTAGCACGGCTCATGCCGGTTAACGAGCGGGTCTTGGGTTGAAGGAAGGGGCCACCGTCATCGTCGAGAATCGACGGGTGGCCGCCGCGCGCAGGCCGACCGAGGTGATGATGATGCGCCGTGCCGCGTTGCGCCGAGGCGCGGATAGTGCCGTCGCCGCCACGATCGATGGATTCTTCGTCAGCGCCCGAGGAGTATGCGTTTGCGAACTTCATGCTGCGGGACTTCGGCATCGCGCGCGGGGCTTCCAGAGTCGTGCCTATTGAGCGGAGAGCAGTGGGGGGTCCGGCGGCGCGCTGTTGCTCAGCCATGCTGGCGAGTGATGCGCCGGAGGGCGTACGCGAGTGATGTCTGCTGCGGCGCGGCTGTGGTTGTGGCTCCGGAGGGTTCGATTCGTAAACAAAGGTTTCGTCCGAATCATCGCTGCTGGCGGCGTCCATGGCGTTTTTGACGCGGTCCTCAAAGATGTCGGCGCGGGTTGAGACTGTGTGCAAAATGTGTTAGCATGGGATCGAGACAACGGTATGCGCCGGAAAGGACTACACTGTCTCTCTTTCTTCTCATCCTGATCTTTCTTTCTTTGCTTGAACGGAGCAGTAAGGGGGTCAAACAGCGCAGAGCAAACAGATGCAACGGATACAGATGAGGTAGTGGACTGGGCATCGTCGTCAGGCGCAGCCTTGGCTTCAGCCTGAAACCAAGGACACGGACGGTTTGGCCCATGGGTATGATGGTGCTGGCGGCACTCATAAGCTGGACCTCGCGACGAGGACGGCTCTCGTATCTTCTTCTGTAGTCCCGCATTAGAATCAAACAAAAAGGGCATACAAACCAGTATTAGAGTTAAGCGATGGTGCTTTCCGAGCGGCTCTTCTACGAGATTTGCCGGGACGTATCGTTTCACTACTCGCCTTCACACGCAAAGTGCCGCCGTCGGGTCCGAGGGTTGGCTGCGCGACCGAATTGACCGTCTCCGTCTCTACCGTCATGGCATGCGGGTCCTTGGGGCGCAAGCTGCTGAAGGATGCCTTGTTAACCATCTTGGGCCGCGGGGTCGCGTCGGGATCGTGTGCATCGGCCGAGGCTTCGCGTTTGGCTTCCCGTTTCATGCCACCGCTGTCGCTCCCAGAGTCGGCACCGGCGAGGAGGTGTTTGGCGCGACGGGGCGTAACTTGGCCGGATGCAGGCCGGTCTTCGTCAGAGAGGATGCCGAAGTACTTGCTCTCAGTTTGGCTCATGGGGGGGTTAGCCGACGTCGTAAATGGTAAAAATAATTGTGCGTACAGAATGAGAAAGGTGGAGAGGAAGACACATGGGGAAGGTGGGGAGAAGTGTGGAGAAGAAGAGTGGGGAAACTTGAGTGAAGCGAACTGCGGTCATAGCTGAGCAATGACCTGTGAATGACCGCAACAATCCAAAGACGACAAACATAGCCAAGAAAACATCACATCCCAACACAAATCGGCATACGTACCTGGGCAAACTTGACCCGGGCGTCGTCGGGTTACTCGCTTCCTGCACCGTCTCGAGCGGTGTTCCTCCACTCGCACCTCGTCCTAACCCCCTCGGTGGCGCAAAGGCGCTCGCCTCCTCCTTCTCCATATTGTCCGGTCCCGATCCATTTCCAGTGTTGTCGGGTGTTGCAGTCCTTTGCAGCACTATGCTCGGCGCTTGCGGCGGCGCCTGCGCAGCCGGCTCGCCGCGCCCACGCGTCCCGGCTCGCAGTGAGTTTCTCCGCGAACTGGACGGCGGGGGACTCTTCAAGCGGGGAGATATGGGCCACGAGGGCGCATCGGCACTCTTGGTGGCGCGCGGCAGTTTACTGAGTGTCTCCTGTATGGCGGCAGCCTGGGGTAGCAGGGTGGGTACGGCGGCGGCGCTGAGGGCACGTTGGATGGCAGCAGCAGAGGGTACGTTCGCCGGGCCAGCGGCGGGCGGGCGCTGCGGGCTCACGTCGTGGCTGTTCTTGCGCGAGCGCATTCCGCGGGCGGTGCCCGAGGCCGTCGACGAAGCGGGGCCCGGGCCCTGCGG